TTGATATGTAGGTCATAATTCTGACAACCTGTATAATTGCCAATATTTTAGAAGTGCGCCCTCAAATGTCATGTATAACATGACAAAATGTATTTGTTTATCAGTAATATTCCGTCCACACATGGATGGGCCACCCTATATATATATATATATATATATATATATATATACATCCCACTAACTCCGTGGCGTCCATACATTGCCGATTTGCTATCTTGCAAGCGTCCGACTTCAACCGAGCGTCCGTATATGGACGCCCGGTTGATTTCCCATAGATTTTGTATCCAAAGTGTGTTTAGAATCGTCCATTAAAATTTTGTACGGGCGCCCGGATAATACCACAACCTGCTTTTTTATATAGTAGTGGTATATTATAAGTTGAACGCTTTCGCCTATAGAGGCGCATGATACGACTGTTGAATATTTTGGCAAGTATATTATACTTTTAACCTGTCGATTTCTAAGCGTCCACCATAAATTTCAAATATTGACAACACAGCATTCCCTTTAATTCTATTTTTAGGTTTCTTTCCGACCACCTGCTAATAACCGACTGGCATTATTTGTTCTGCATTCGTTTTTAAGATTTGATTGTGGGTATATTATACTTTTAGCCTATCGATTTCCAAGCGTCCATCCTAAACTCGCTGTGTCTTATGATGCAGTGTTCCATTTAGTTCTATTTCCTATTTCGGGTTTCCTTTCGAACATGTGCTAATTAATTGTTTCTCAATCGGTTTCAAGGTTTTATTGTGGGTAAGTATGAAAATATTTATTTATTGTATATGTAATTAATATTAGTGAAATTCCTAACAAATATTCTCAATATTTCTGTTACTTTTCTGGGATTAACATTCAGATAATGAAACTAACCTCATTTTGTTGGAACGTTTTGCCGTTTCGCGGCAGATTTTTCAGCTATAAAATTTAATATATTTTCTTACGGTTTAGAAACAATTTACAAAAATAAAACACAAACGTTCTAAAGACCTCAATATACACTTATACTTTAATATATTTATTTATATTGTAAATAATCATATGATTAAATATTAAAAAAGTGTTTTCTAACCGGCTATTTATACATGTCATTACGCAGGCCTAAGGCCTAAACACCGTGGGTGCCGTGAGACTACAGTGGAAAGGGGAAACGTCACACGTACTCTAATGAGAGAGCATGCGTACACATTCAGGCCCCACCTAAGAGAACCGAGGGTGGTGCCTCAACGACGACGATCAATGACCGTCTACCACCTATCAAGATCAGAAGAGTCCACTTGTATTTTAGCTTTCTTCAGCATCAACTTAATCTTAACTTCCTCGCAGATCATTTCCTCTTTTTATCTGGGAAAAGTTCGAATCCATCATGGCGTGTATCTGAATCTGGTGCTTCGCCCTCTGCTGGACAAGTACCTTTTTTTCACAGCATTCTCGTGGGTGTTCACATTCTTTCTCAACAATTTCTATTATCTCAGAGGTTCCAATTATAACCTCTGGTGTGTTCTTATTTGTCTTAGTGGCTACCTCAACATTATGCTTCGTCCAATTCGTCATAGTATTTATATCTTGAGGAAATAGTGTACAAAGGAGAGATATACCTGTTAAAGTGACAACTGAAACTATGATTGTCACAATGCTAAAGGTTCCGTGTATATTTTCTTGAATCGTTTTTTCTTTGACTTTCTTGCTAGTGAGACATTGCCGTTTGGGTCTACGGCCTAAGCGGTACCTTCAGGTATAGTTATGAAGGGTTTTCAACATCAATGGCCCTGTTTTTGACACTTGATCCATGGAGCTTGTCAGTGTCGGGGAGCTTTGCGAGGCTTCATGGCGGGCACTGTCGGTTTCCTCAATAGCACTCTTAATGTGTTCGAACTAACATCCGAACCACTTTAGTTGATGATTGGTAAACTCATAATAACTTTAAAATGGATAAATACAGAGAATTTTTCAGTACTTTGAAGATATTCACTTTGACATTGACAGTACCAATTCATTCTTGGTTTATTCAGTAACGGATAGGAAGTCAATAATTAATTTTCTGGGTATGTCATTAATTAGACTGAAAAATGTTCCTAACATTAAAACAAAATGCTGCACGAAAGCTAATTGATCATCAGGATACTACATTTCACTTCTCAGGTATTAAAAAGTGTAATGCTCGGTCTTATTGATCACATACATCCCCAATTATAAATATTTTTTCGACCGATTGAGCGATATTTAGAAGTCGTGCCGTCAGTTTGAATGCAATGTTTCATAATGTCTCCTTAAAAATATGCTAATGGAAGATAAATACTATAGAATACTATAGAACTGGCCAAACAGAGATTAAAAACTTTTTTGAATAAAGAAAATCCCAATCAAATAACAACGTGTCAAACTACTCTTCCAATTTTATTGATTCTAGCTGTATTCATTGCTTTGGTAATTTCAGATAATATGGACAGAAAAACAAAAATTATGTTGAATGCACTCAATATAAAGGACAGGAGTTGCATTGATTTCCTGAAAGTTCCTAAATATGAACGACTTGGAACCACCCAGAACGAACAAGATTTGTGCATTCAAAGTAAGTTCTGAATAAGTTTTTTCATAAATAAAACCGAGTTATTGTAAGTAGCCGTTGACTGTACAGGGTTACTGATTAGAAATTGTGCACGTCTCTTTTTTCATTGTTTGAAATACAAATTTACATTTTTTACCAATTGCAAGGAAAATAGCGTATTTTTATAAAAATAGCGGACATATAACAAGGTTTCGCAAGAAACTGGGATACAAGTATGTTAGGTTTTTTTTGTTTGATTTCGTGACAGATTTTACATACTTTTTGGAACATACTGTTGGTCTATTTGAATTCTTTTTGAATTAAGGGCATTTGAAAGGTGATATTTCTGGGCACTTTGAATCCTCACAACGCCTGAACAGTTTGACTTCGAGCAGAATAACATCCGGTCTAGTTTTTGATAAGCTTTCACCTATAATAATGAGTGAAACAAAAGTAATGATACATACTTCGTTTTATGGCATTTTTATTTTGCTCTAACAATAAGATTGTTGAGGGGTTATGAGGATTTAGAGTACCAAAACTGTTATTTATCAAATGTCGATGATTTAAAAACAATTGAAGATAGACCTGCGGTATGCTTAATGATAAATATTTCAAATTCCTCACATAATCCAAACATTGTGTAATATATAGGCAGTTCCATTGAAAAAATTATTACGGCTTTTTGGGGAATTCTGTATAACACTTTTTCTATCTTTACAAAAATACATTGTTTACTTTTAAAAACTACGGTACATAATTTACTTCTGTGTCTCAAGAAATTTTAGTGAGGTCAAATTATTCATTGACATTCAAGTTTGGAAAATAACTGGAAGTAGTAATTTATGAATTATTTGCGAAACTTTGATTTAATCAATAGCCCTAGAACTCTTTAATTGAAAAGCAAATTTTGTAAAATTGTTGATTAAAATTATATTAAAGAATGAACAGATATATTAAAGAATGAACAAATTGTTTTGGGCAAATAGATAAAGTCACTAAAACTTGGTTCAAGCAATACTTTTGGCTGCAGAAATATCTTGGATAGCCACTGCATTGTCGGTACTGAAAAGACTTAATTTAAAAAAATTATAACATTAAACATTTTACTTCACAGGATCCCAAGAACTATTTGGGAACGTAACAAGTCAAACAAGAACACCTGCTATAAAAATTCAATACTCCAGCATATCCTCCACCGAAAAGGTGTATAACACAAGACTACAGAAGGTTAAAAAAAATCTCTTTGAAGAAGAAATACCTATAAGTCCGCAAGAACACTTTAGAAACCTCCAGTCTGGTGGAATATCACCTACAATTGATGTAGTATCTACTAGTGATGAACATTTTGATGCTCATGGTAGTAGTAGTAGTGAGCATGCTTCAGAAGAAAATGAAGCTTATAGTAGTGGTACTGAATACATTCCAGATACTCCCTCGGTTTCATCAGATTCTGGGAGCGAACCTGGCAACAGTTTTATCCAAAAAGACGACCATTTCTGTAATAAACAGGTATATTGTGATGCCAGTTAATTATAAATCTTACAACCCCGTAAGTCACAAATAATATTGATACACCAGGTGCTTTAGAATACTATCTGAAATGAACAAAATATAATTTATAAAGAGCGGTTTTTGTGAGAGGAGCTTAATGCAACATGCCCTGCTACAATTTTGAGTATATTATAGAGAGATCGAAATTTTCATATGTTTGGCGCTATGATCGTTGTTTTGTCCAATAAAATGTGAGTTTTGAAGGTTAAAAAAAGCTATAATAAATGTTTTGTTTCCAGGAAGAAATATCTGATCCATATACTGAAAAAGTTACATTTTCGGGCCGCACTGTTGAACCAATTCTGCCATCAGAAGAAAACCCTTCCAATAATTTTGGGATATATAAACAGGATGGTGAAATGCGCAAGGGAAAGAAAAAGACAGATTTCTGTTTCTTTTGCGAGACTCCAGTGTTAAATTTTGCCAGACATATAACACGCAACCACCCATCAGAAATCGAAGTCCAGGAAATTCTGCTACATCCAACTCGTAGTATAGTAAGAAAAAAAAGGGAAACTATATAAATAGTAGTGTCGCGTGTAAGCCAGTCCAAAGTTTGCGCTCAGCAAAAGATCTTTTGCCTTGCGATAATTGCCTTGGTTTTTACTCTAGAAAATTGTTATGGAGGCACAAAATTAAATGTACTGGATCAAAGAGCACACGTGCTCAGGTGTCTGCCCAAAATTTATTGGTATCTAGCTTGAGAATTGATCTAAATTTGAAAAAGACGGTTTTTCCCAGGATGAGAGCGGATGAAATATCTCTCGTTGCAAAAAGAGATCCACTTATTTGTGCTTATGGAGCAAGGTACATGAAAATTCACCGAGAAAAGCATTTCATCAACGTAACATCTAGGAAAATGCGAGAAATTGCTCGATTTTTAATCGAAATAGAAAAAATGGAGCCAAATATTCATTGTCTCTTTGATGCTCTGAAACCTAAATATTTTGATACAATTGTTGCTGCAACAAAAACAGTGGCAAAATATGACGTAGAAAAGGATAAATTTGAATCACCAACCTACGCTATGAATATGGGCACGAATCTGAAGCAATGTGCGGAGATAGCTATTATATTTGCTCTGAAAAGGAAACAAATCGCCTTAACAGTTTCATCTGCTGAAGCAGAGGCAGATTTAAAAACTTTGATAAAAGTCATTGAGTCACAATGGCAATATGAGATTTCTAGCCAGGCCGCCAGTGATATAAATATTAACAAGTGGAATAAAGTTACCCTAGTGCCACTTGCCAGTGACTTAAAACTGTTCAAGGAATTTTTGATAACGACGGCAAATTCTGCCGCAACTGCACTTCAGAACGACGGCGACGGGGACGTTAGCCAATACGTACTTCTTTTGGAGTCTATATTCTGCCGTGTGATTTTACTTAACCGAAGACGTCCAGGTGAACTGCAAAGACTGACACTGGACAATTATCAAATATTGGAGAAAAGCGATTCCAGCTCAAATTATGAAGAGTTCTCCGAGGTTGTTTCTCCAACTGAACAAATTCTACTCAAAAGATTTAAAAGGATAGTAATAAGAGGTAAAAGGGGACGAGGAGTACCGGTTCTTTTTAGTCCCGACATTCAAGGTCACATAAATATTTTAATTAAAATACGCAACAAATTTGTTAGTGAAAAAAACCCATTCCTATTCGGTAATGCTAAATCAAATGAACCTATATGTGGTTATAAGGTTCTGAAGAAATTCGCACTGGCATCTGGGGCAAAGAACCCATCAGCTATTACAGCAACTAGACTCCGGAAGCATTTGGCTACTCTCACACAATTATTTGATATGTGTGAGAATGATTTGGAGCAGCTGGCTAGTTTTATGGGACATACCATTGGCGTACATCGGGAAAACTATCGTTTACCAAATGATGTATACCAAACAGCCAAGATTTCAAAACTTCTGCTTTTAATGGAAAAGGACAAGCTGCTCAGTTTAAAGGAAAAGCCCTGAATGATATTAATTTAAATTTGGAAGAAGACTTGATGCTTGCTAACGAAGAACAAAGCGAACGTTGTGAATCGCCATCTTTGCATTCCGACGTTCCAGAACCGTACAGTTCAAAAATTCCAGAGAAGAAAAATGAATATCTTCCTAAGAAAAATAAACGAGTACTCATTAAGTGGACCGATGAACAGAAAAAAATTGTTATAAATTTTTTTGCAAATCATATAAAAAACAGAAAACCACCGAAACGAAATGGCTCCATACCGAAATATTCTCGAATAAAGATTGGCCGAAAATTAAAGTATTCGTCCAAAACCAGTATCATAAATATAATAACAAATGAAGGAATTTTGTTTTACTTTTCAATGGTTCCTATGAGAACAGATTCTGATTTTATTTTTGTAAGTGTTGTATAACTATTTTCTACACCTTACTTTTGCCTGTTCTTATTTAAGAATAATAAAGTGTATTCTATGTAACAAGGTATTTTTCTACATCCAGCATTTTCATTCATAAAAACTTAATGCACTACCCCTTGTATAATGTAATTTGTAAAACTTATCATGTGGTTATATCTGTTATTCATTTCGCTTTGCCTGGCTTCATACTAAAAGCACATGTAACGTCGTAGGAAATATAGGAAAAAATGAAACACAGTGTGTCCCCAGAAAAAAAACTTTATTCTTCTTTTGATCCATTTTATTGTCAAAATTAGCTTTCAAAAAGCATATAATTTTATTTTGATAACCGCCATGTGATAAAACTCCAAACGCCATCTACTGGTAAGACATTTTCTGATTCTTTATTAACAACTTTTTATTTACAATTTTATATTACAACAAGGGCACTTACCTGCTTCATGTCCATTTGATTTGAAGTTAAAACAAAATCCTTTGTACCTCTTCTTAGGTGTCCGATGTCTTCTTCCTTATGGGGTTATTACTGATAGTCCACATATGGCTCTTGCGAAGCGTTTTTTCCTGAACACCTTTCTTAGATATTGACTGCTAGAAATCGAGTTCAGCAGACCGAGCGCTGAACTTATTTGTAGGTACACTAGCCCGCTGACTTGAAAAATTTGTTTTTACGGGCCCCTTTCACTAAGATTCTTGGCCCCACACTTTGGACCAGCGAAGAAGCACTCACAGAATCCTTCTGTGTTGTCGACGTCCATTAGTACTAAGAATGTATTTTCTTCTCCGGAGTATAGCAGGCTTTATTTAAACACTCTTATGCTGTCCATTTTTCTTGAATCCCCTTGTTTTATACACTCAACCAGATGCCAATCTGATTTCTCTTGTAGAATGGTTATACTAGAACTTGTTGTTACCATTCTGTCATTCATAGAGAAAATAGTTACTGGAATGAATAGATGACTTGGACAAAAATATTTACTGACAGATTTGGCAACGTCTCCGGACGCTAGGTAATCCTTAGAGTGAATTTAAAATATATAAATAGGACGCCCAGTCACGGAAATTTAAAAGTTTTGCGTATATTTGGGACGCTCAGTGAGTGTTACAGTGAAAGGAAGCTGAGAAGTCCGTGATGTAAAAAACGATTTTTTCTATGTTTCTGAACAAAACTCTATTGCTTCTCAACACCAACTGCTGTCATATTTTGAAAAATATTCAGCCTATAAAATGCACATACCTTCAGAATTTATAGTGGACGCTCAGATATTGTTTCTTGAAAGGACGCCCGAAAGATAGCGGGATGTATATATATAATTACAGCGTCATATTTACGTTATTTAGATGAACTCTCTTGTTGCTGTCCTACTGCACCCATATACATACAAGCAAATAATGACGCCAATTACTGTACTATACGTAGTAGGTGATTACGTTCTAGCAAAGTCTCAGCGAGAGATAATTCCTTTGGTCACGTTTGCAACTCCTTAATACAATACGTTATACTCATTTCGTAAACATGTATTATGATCTATTAACTCCCAATGGTTCTCTCCGCCAATGTAACCATTGCAATATTTTTTTTGAGTATTCGCTAGTTATTTGTCCTGGGAGATGCACTATAGTATATGTTGATACCTTATCTGTTAGTCTACTTACGTCACACGAGCCCACCCTTGAGCTGCAACTCCTGTCCAACACCCGAATGCATCAGGAAATGGGTGGCCCTCACATTTCCAGAGTCTATCTACATACCCAGTAAAAATGTTCGTTGCATGAATAGACTGACCTAATGTGGGACCTGCATACAAGTATTGCAATACAAATAGCCAAACAAATGTAGTGCCACCGATTTCTTGTACTATAATTGAGTAGCAGACTTTCATAAACGGCTATGATATGTTTCAGATAAATTGAGAAATGTGGCAAAAACTGCCGAAAAGCAGCGGCAAACATACTACAAAAAGGATTAACCGAAGAATATCAAAATTTCGTTCTTTGACCAAAAATGTATTTTGTTTAATGCGCTTTGTTTGTCCAAATGAGAATCCTTTTGTTTGGGAAGCGGTAGCTTATCCCAAATTATTTTTCATTTACCGATACAATGTTGTCTTAGAAGTACATTAAAAGAAAAACGATCAAACTTTCCCGCCGTCATCTTCGATGCAGTTACATACTCCTTGGACATTTTCTTCATCACTAATCTCTTGCAGTTATTCAAGATGCTCTGAGAAACTTTGAAGAAGCCATTGCAATTCTTCATCAACACGCCATCTTTCTGTAGATAATTGCACTACAAGTTTATGCAGATTTTTCAACTTTTTCCCTTTTATTTCATGATTTAGATACTTGGCAGTGGCATCACCGTTTGTGTAAAAGATTTCTATTATTACAGCTTCTTGTTGTTTTGGGGTCCGTTTTATCAAGATTCGCTTAGCATGACTGATTCGATCGATTTTGTTGAAGGTAGACATAGCGGATATCAAACCATGTGTGCTCTGGGGTCTAATAAGCTTCTCACATCGTCCAAAAATGTGGTCCGCTGGCAAGCACATCGTTGGCATGTGAACTATGTGGGTGTTCTTGATTTGGCCTCCACAGTATTCAATAAACGACTTCAATTCTTCTACATTTTCTGGAAGTTCATCTTTCTAAGAAAGTCGTAAATGGCAGAGCCAACTTCTGTGGCGCTCCTTCTAGCTTGGTATTCTAGCCATGAATAGAAAATTGATTACTTGCGTGGTATGTTTGTGATACGAAAAACATACAAGAAGAGTATGTCTGTGGTACAAAAAAAACATAAATGGCGTCTGAAATCGGGACTTTAGGGACAGATTGTACCCGCTAAAAATCGAAGCAGAATGCCATACCGTTTTTTCTGCACCATGAAAAAAAAATGCTTAGCTCTCAATTTATGTACCTTTAGATTTGTTATAACGGTCTGCTTTTCACATTGGAATTTCACCAAAGAGAGCAGGCTTATCTGCTCTTAAGTTAGCAATGGATGATTTTACTTTTGTACGTTTTTCCACATTTTTCTGTCAGCGCCGTTCTCCATCGCGAGTCTCAGCAATACCAGATCCAGCTTTCATTTGCCCAGAAATAGTTTGTATGCGCTTCTGACCACTATAAAAAACTCTTAAAACATTTTCTGGCAAATTGTTTTTTTTTGCGGTTCTTAGCAGATGTTTGACCAGATGGTTTTTTTCCAGTTCCAATTTCAATCAAATGAGACAATGTCGTATCCTGTTTAACCATGTCTTTTTGTGAGCAAAACTTTTCTCGGAAGCGTCTAAAACTTTCGACAGAAATATTTTTAAATGCAAGTTTTTTGTTTTTGCCGTGCGTAGAGGGAACTTCGAAACCGTAAAGTTCACACAAACTGTGAGAAGATTCCCTCAAATAACATAATTCAATATACCGCTGCCGCGATGTTACCCTCCATTGTCTCGATCAACTATATGCTCTTCATCCATGAGTAACGCTTTGCCAACTGTGCAGGATACGACACGATTAAAATAATACGGTACGTGCCCAAAGAGAAGGCTATACTAACCGCCTATACAAAAAATCTGAACTAACAAGTGTAACAAAGTCTATTTGTTTGTCCATACATGGAGATAAACGTATACATTCCAGCGACAACTTTTGTCCAATTTCAAAAAAACTATACCTGACGCCCTTTGAAAGTCTGCTCCTCTATTATAATTTCCTACTAATGATAACATGTATGGAATCATATATAGCTTAAACTTAAGATAAAGATACATTTGGTGAAACAAAGATAGAGTAAGATAATTGGCATTTCCGACAATACTTTGCACCTTTAAAATTTACGAAAACTTTCAACACTAGTCATCAATAATGGTTATCCCAGATACCTGATTAACATAATTTTGTTCAGCACTCCTTCTGTTACACCTCTGCCAAACATGGGTGATAATAATAATCCACCCCTTCCAATATTAACAATGACAATCATTCCAACAATACAGATGCTGCCTCCAATTCCAGAATTAATTTTGCAGTCCTGCCGCATATCAAGGACCTAACGCCGAAACTTTCTAGACTGTGCAATACTTTAGATTGTATTGCTTACAAATCTTCCCTTACAATCAACAATATCTTCTTCAAAATGAAAGATAGAGTTCCACTTCTTAGCTTATCCAACGTTGTCTATTGTATCTATTGGAACAACTGCAATCTCACATATACAGGTCAAACTTCGAGATTGCTTAAAGGTAGAGTAACCTCACATGAAAGTGATTCCAGTCTTCATCCAGAAAGATGTGCTCTGGCTTCACATGTCAACACCACACGGTATTCAATGGGGACTTAATGACGTCCTTGACAGAAAAACCATCATTCAAACGTTTGTTCCTAAAAATGTCTCACATCTTTATTACTGCAACTGCATGAACAAGAAAGTAGAGATGTTAGCGTCTTCTACGAATATCTGTTGAACTGCGAAAAATTGGAAAGACCTCATATCTCTCCCAACATCGATCTTTCCCAATAATCGCAATAATAGCATAATTTCTTCGTCATTACCTAACACGGTGGAAGGATAACATCAAAAAACACCCTCCATCCATAATGATATTTATTAATTTGAAAATAGATCTTGCACTTCTTTTTATGCTGTAACCACCTTCATCTTAACACTTCCATACAAGGTAGGCAACACATCGTAGGTCTTCTATCCCTTTCTTTTCTCTCTCTCTCTCTCTCTCTCTCCTTTTTTCCCTTGATCGATGGTGTGTCAATAATGTGAACGTCACACGTCACTCATCCATTTCGTCAGTTTCAGCACGTGGTAAAGAGGAAGTGGTTTCCGGTAAAAATTATTGTTCGAAAGTTTTTCCAATAAGTTAATAAATCCGTCAGTGTTTTCTTGAAAAAAGCAAGCATACTATAGCTATGGTTTTACCAATAATTATTAATTAAAATAAGCTCTTACTAATTTAACCTCAACAATTCAGCTTTTTGCTCATTAACTATGTGTTGTCTTCTACTTCGTTCTAACAACAATTTCAGCAACAAATCTCACCGACTCAGTAAGTAACGATACTCCTTTCAATTATATATTGTTGCTACTTTCCAAAATTTGTCCTAGTCCCTTGATGATGATGGCATAGACCGTCGCAAGCTTGACTTTAAGTTAATGGCATACTTCTGCAAAACTTTTTCTTCATCCCAAAGAATTTCAAGGATATGTATATATACACCTTAGGAAAAACCATTGTTATACATGGGAAATCATTGCTTGTGCTAAGTTCTCTGTGTACACAATGAATCTATATTAAAATAAATAAAACTTAAATTATGAAAACGGCCTTTAAAGCAATCTGACGGCATATTATATACCTAGCTCTCTTCGGGTTGCTGCAAAATGATGTATATGGAGTATCTGCTAGTAAATGATATGCAACTATGTTTTTTGCGTGATAAAAAACTGTTTGAAATAACAAAGGCTATGGTAGAGTTGGAATATATCATTTAATGCGAAGGATCTCATGATTTTCTTGATCCAGACCAAAGAACCTGGTGATATGAAAAACATTTGTCTATGGATTTTGTATTCAAATAGTGCAGGAGAACCTAGTGTAAAATATGGCTCAACAACAACGATAAGTAACATAAAAAATAAACATGAATGTTGCAGCAACAACAATAAGTAACAAAAAATAAACATGAATGTTGCAACAACAACGATAAGTAACATAAAAAATAAACATGAATGTTGTGGCACAGGAAAAAGGCTGGCTTGAACTGAAATGAAATTTTTGCAGAGCACCAATTGAACCAGTCAATCTTATAAACAAGGACTTAAAGACCTTTGGTAATATAAGTTATTGCACAATATCTTTATAATACAATAAGAGTTTGTGTATCTCGGGAATACATTTTGGGGACGAATCAGTAGGTGTTCTTCACTAAGGCTTGACATTTGGGACAGACAGAAGAGTTGTTAAGCATTCTGTTCAGATCTATATACAATAATTTCTTAATTTCAAGGCTTTCTTATTTTACTACTTTACACGAGAAACAATAAACGTATGGGCCTACTCAATACGGTAAGAAATCAATAGGATAACCGAAATCATGGCATGGAAATTCTGAGTTATTCTGGTCCAATTTGGTCCCATTCCTGCATATAATATCTTGTAGCTGTCGTTCGACCGAAATTTTACTTTTTCAAGCCTTCAGGTCCAGCAAGTAGCACAAATGTTCAATGGGATTAGTATCTGGGGATTTTGAGTTGGGCAGGAATATTGTGAAGTAACCATTCTTTTGTTTGTGTTTAAGATCATTATCCTGTTGAATGAAAGATAAATGTTTCCCTGATCCCCATTTTCCAGTGCTGCTCTGCATGTTATTATGCAAAATAATAGACTTGTCTGCATTCATAGTACTTTCGATGAACTTAGGTTTTCAACACCATTCCACAACATACAGACCCAGACTAAGACGCTGTCCCACCATGCTGCATTGCTGGACCGACATACCTCATTTCAAATTAAGTATTTTAAGTTTTCTTCAAACATATTTGTGACCATAAGCTCCGAAACCTCGAAGATTAAAGTAAGATCAAGATGTAAGGTCTGATGGCGGCAAAAATGCATGGAGAAAAAATAATACTCAATTTGAAAATGAGACATATCAGCCCAACAGTGGAAATTGATGACGGGAGCGTTTTAGTTAGCCTGGGGCTAAATGATGTGGAATGGTGTTGGATATCTAAGCTTCATCAAGGCATTATGAATGCAGACAAGTATGTTAACTTTTGCCCAAAACATGCACACCAGCGCTGAGAAAATTGGGGATCAAGGAAACATTTATGTTTCAACACACTGTTACTAAAACAAAGGAATAGTTACTTTACATTGTTTTTGCACAATCCTCCAATCCCGAATATCAATCCCATTAAACATTTTCGCTTCTTGCTGGACCTGAATGCCCGAAAAAATAAAATTTCTGCGGAACTACAGCTACAAGATGTTCTGCAGATATCGTTCCTGATTAGATCAGAATTAGCTCAAAAATTATATGCCAGGAAATCTTCAGGTCGTAAATGATGCAAATCCTATGATGACAAAGTACTAGCTGTGAATAAATTTTGTTAAAACTTATTTACTTGTCTATCTTGGAGTGCGTTGAATTCCATAATTCCTATTATTATTCTATTGTTTCTAATTTGCTTGAACTATTGCCATTAAAATTACTGTGTGGAAGTTAGCCTTCAAATAAATGTAGTGACAAAAAAATACCTTTTCGTTACTGAGATTGAAGAAAAAATGGAGTATGCTGTATGTTCTAAAAACTAGAAAATCTCATAGATGCAATCAATTTTAATTCAGTCATTTTCAGGGTCGAAAACCCACCCTTGTCCTTTGAAGCTTGATATGGGATAAGGGAAATAATGAAATAAGGGAGCCTTGAAGTAGATGATTATGCGAGGTAACAAGGAGGCCTCAGATTAAAAAGATTGCCTACTTCGTTGAGAAAAATCTGAAAGATATGTCAAGAATGACTATGCCTTTGGTTTTTAGACAATATGAATAGAATCTTGAAATCATAGGACTGGTCGAAAAATCTATTGAGAACATTTTAAGACAACTATATGCATGTATTTTAAAAAAGTGATGTACCCCAACAATTCTTAAATCATATAAACAAAGCTTCATGTCAAAACATATCTGACATGCATAAGGTGACATTTGGTTCTTAAAATTGATATTCTATATCCACTATTATATAGAATTCTGACAAAAATATTTACAAGCTACAGAAAGATCAGAGGATAGATTCAATACAAATATATCAATCTACCCACTGTGTATTATGAAGCAGCATAAATAACTTCCTGTAAATATATTTGCCCTTTCCAGTTGCTTGGCGCGAAAACGCTATTTGTATGATGTGACAAGAAGCAAACTCTAACCTCATTTACGCCGCGAAAATAGACAATAGAGCTCGATATTCAAATTTCCTAAATAGAAAAATTACGTCTATAGGCACTTCAAAGGAACGTGGTATATGATAAAATTACTAGAAAAATACTGCGTCTTATCCAGGAATGTTGTATACGTATATATGTTGTTTAGTTATTCTAGTATCACATTTCTTTATCAGACTATACCACATTAGGTTCTGCAGCATTTTGACGAACGTAGAAGAACCGATCGATCTTATTCCAGGAGCGTCTTTCAACGGCCTGGCACTGATGCGAGTCATAACGTCATCATTGAACTCGATCCAGTCGTCTCTGAAGCAAGTGAAAAACGAGGTTAAGTTGATTGCCTCGGTACCTCCCTATTTTTTTAAACACGGGACAAAAATTCAAGAAGTGATTCTTAAGACTACTCTAAGGGCCGAATCGTCCATCGTTCCTACAATATTGTAGGACGCCTTTATGGCCTCCTTGACTTTGGTAGTTTTTCCTGTCCTTCGAAAACGCAGGGTATTTCCAGATTTCTACTGTTTTGTGTCACCCCTCTATTTCAGGTTAAATTTTCTTTTTGAATTCTAAGAAATTTCAGGCTGACAGAACTTCATCATCTGTTTTATAAATCTGAAATTTTTTAAGATTCAAGAAGAAAACATACCTTCACAATAGCTGACATGGAACAGTAGAAATCTGAAAAACAGAAAAGACTATGACCATCAAGGAGACCATAAAGGCATCCTACAACTGTAGGAACGACTGAAGATAGGGCCCTAAGAGTGCTCTGTCCGTTGACGATTTCGGAGATACATGACCCTGAACGGCGCCAATGGAAATCGGTCTATCTTATGGCCAAGTTCGCAGGGAACAAGGTCTATAAAATAAATACCTTAAAATATTCCTTAAATAACTTGAACAACACCATGTTTCAGAACTATTTTTCAAAGCACAGCGTTGCCAGATGGGTCACTACAGAATTTCCCCAGAACAAGCACAAAAATCCCCCAGACTTACAACTTTTTCAAAAGTAAAAAAAGGATAGGTTTGGTTCAAAGAGCGGGAAATTCTTTCTAGCTTAATTTTTAAGAACAATAGTTTATAGTAGAACAGAGTAAAGGAGGGTTGTCTGGCAAAGGCCACCCTGCTGTAATCTAGCTGTACTATAAAGGTCACAGAGAAGGCTCCAACATCACATATACAGGTAACGTCACAGAAATTCAACGTAATTTTAGGAGCTGTAGTACATAGTACCACATGCTGTGGTTTTTTGACCTTACCTTACATCGTCAAGTAAAACAGTGGCAATGTAATGGCCTTGAGATAGAGTTCCGCTATGCTGGACTACAGCATAGAGTTTATACACCGAGCTTAAAAATTGTAGCTTGTCCGGAAAACTGACAAGACCAGGATGCTTCATTACTTCATCTTTAGAAATTAGGACTCTGTAACAATATCTGTATTTTAGTGAAGGCATTTTGTGACATAAATTGTAAGGATAGACTAAATACTTGAAATACTACTTAAAAATATTTTGTCACTTGCATAGACTACATCATAGCTTGAAATATTGATTTTTGGTCACTATTTTTTCATTAAAATATTCGCCTAGAGACAGCTCTGAGCTATGTATATCTGATGAGTGATGATTATTCTGTGAGATACAATTATTTTGTTCTGTTCTGTTCTGTCTATTAAATATCTGAACAGCTTGAAAACTAAGCAAGTACGCAAAAGGGGTTCCTACAAAAGATTCGAAAGACAAAAGAGGAATTTATTGGCGACTTCTAGATTGACCTAGATAATGTCCTTATAGGTCGTCTACACGGGCCATAATTTTCGGCATTTTGTAGGCGGCATCATATGGCCGGATGATGGCTCGCAACTTGCCAGCCACATTCGGCAATATAACCAAAATATTGCAATATGGCCGAGCAATATATCCTGGCATTTCTTTAGTGCGGCAACACTGGCCGGCAAGTGGCCGAGAGATCGACCGCTTTGCGAATTTTCAGCAACATGGCTCAGCCATCTTTGTATTTGTCTCGCTTCACTTCTTTAGCCGCGCGTCATTCGAGTGTTGTTTTGTGGTGAATTTTCTTAATTTAAAATGACTAATTGGACTAACGAAAAGACTTTACATTTAATTAACGCTATACATTTAAGTCCAGAATTGTGGGATGTTAACAATGTTTTGTATAAACATATTTCGATTGCTTCCAACTATCGTACACTGGTGGAATCTTACTGCAGCGAAGATCCTCCCCTGTTTCAATCTGCAGAAACTCTCACAAGACGAAACTAAATGAAAAACACTAGCGAATTTATCTAGCTAGTGTCTTTTATTAAGTTAGCATATCTTTTGTTTCTGATGAAGTAATATAAATAAAAATATTAACTCACCTGAATAAATTCTTTTAATCCTATCACCAGTGCTCTGCATACTTCTGCGATTATTTATCAGTGAAATAGCTGAATCAGACACCCTAAATAAATACATCAAACTTTTGAAGCTCTCACCAGTTGCCAAGTATCTTAGTGTTATAGCTAGTCTTGTCGTAGTTGATATCGCTGTTCGCATGTTGGTATCCTGCTTTCGAATATTCGGTCCAATTCGATTTAGTAAAAATTCAAAATCCGTTTTATCCATTCTCGTAATGTTTTTGAATAAATAATTGTCGAGAGATAACTCTACACTTAGATTTTGTAAAGTAAGCCTTTTACTTATAAGGCCTAACCCACAACTTTTTTCTTTTTTTAGTGTTCGGTTTCTTTTTAACACAATAATAGCAGCCGCAATAAGCACTAGATCATCCATGGTGATAAAGCAACTATTTGTGTGAATGTTGTCTAGTGTAAATGCAAATTTGCTATGGCCATATGTTGCAGAACGATGTCCGGACATACTCGTCCAGAATGTGGCCTGGCAATATGTAAAAATTCAGTTGCTGGGCCATGCTGCCCGGCTACATAACCCGGCAATGTTTTCAAAAATCTGCATTTTCTATGGCCCGTGTAGACGACCTATAAGGTATACTGTGTATACAATCACATTGTACGGAACGTTTACGAAACTGATATGGAATGGAAATGGAATGTATAGTGAGAATCAACCTTTAACGGGGCTCCTACAATCTCGAGTACCATCTGTTGAGAAAACGGGGGGGTGAAAAGGAAACGATGGTGGGCAGGTCTTAGATGGTTGTCGGCGCTACTTTAAAAGAGGAAAGGATGACTGCGGGTGCGTGCCGAGGTAAATTTATATAATAACAGAGTCGGATTTCGATTAGCGATCTAGTCCGTTAATCGTTTCCTATTTTGGTACTCAGCAAGTGATCATTTAGTATTGTTCTACCCTGGTTACTGTTCGTCGATATTGTGTTGTTGAATTGTTGTGCTGTACTCTTTTGTTGGTGTGATTGTTCTTGAGTGCCTTTTTTTATCAAGGTTGATAATGGACAATAAAAGGTCTTATGCGACAATTTTAATTACGAATGCAGTGAGCTTAATTCATGATGAGGACAACAATAATGTGGAGCAGTTCAACTCTATAATTGCAAAATACATTGGGGTAAGCGAATAAATTATTGCAAGAAGAGGTCATACCATGGAAAACGTGCTGCAGCTGTAGTGAGCCACAATACCGAGCGGCCTGTCTATGTGGTTCAAATACATTTGCGTGCTAAGCTTAGTCCAACCTCGCTTATCACTAAGATGGAACAAAGACTCAAACGCAAGAATCTTCAAAAGAAACTCAGACCAAAAAAAGCTGATATAAAAATAACAATTCGGATAGCAATTCCAAAGAAAATGAATAGTTTTATGGCAATTCTGTCTAAAACCTGACATGAACGACATTGATTTGGAGGTTGCTGAGCAAGAATTTTTAGGGAAACTTAAAAAAAGTGACGATGAAATTTTGCAGATCGAACAAGTCACCAAATCACAGGACTGTACTTTGTGGCGTCTTCATCAGAGGATAAGGTTGACAGCGTCTCGATTTGCTGAAGTTTGTAGAAGAAATCAGACAACAAGCTGTAAAGTTCTAGTAAACTCCATCATATACCCAACAGAGTTTTCTAGTAAGGCAATAAAAAAGGGCAATACAAAAATCATTGGACACATGGACACCGCAGTTCAATCTTGTGGTTTGTTTATTGATCGCACACATCCATTTCTGGCAGCATCACCTCCATCTACCTATTACAGTAGACAAGACATGTACTTAATCCAGGTATAAGCCTACCTATTTATTGCTTTGCAAAAACTACCTAACTGCTTCCTCATGTTTTGACTGCGTAGGATATTTTTATGACTCCCGTTCAATTGTTACCATCTACCACATGACAATTGTAAACATAATTTTGTTTATTGACATAAATAAACGAATTTGAATTTGAATTCTTGAATTTATTTTAGGAAAGATATAATATTATTTGAATACATTTTTTCTTAGTCGGAACGCACCGTTACGACGCTTGGACTAGCAGGTTGAAACAGTAGATGAATTTCGCTCAAAAACCGATTTACACTTCACAGCTTACGTTTAATTTTTATTATTTCTAAATGAAACTCTTGCAGCGTGCTAAAGACAAAGTCCACAGGGTGCCAGCGATTCACTTTTTCGATTTTATCCACTAGGATCTTTTTAAAATATCAAGAAGTTGAGCACAAATAGTAAGCATTTCAACCCACCACAATTCTTGCGCAAAAACAAAATTTTGTAAAAAGCTCTGATAGCACCCTAGGCAATCATGTCCTGCTTATATCCAGAAAAAACATCACAAACTGCAGTACACAAATTGAAGGTAACGGTGAAATGGGTACATTTCACGGGTCATGAAATTCAAATGAAAATGCAGGTATAAAATCTACCAAATTATCATTCTCAAGAACATATTTCCTTGACATATCGATAATTTTAAAGTTCCCCGCTAAATTCCCCTATACTTGACTGGAGTGATATCCGAATTTATTCTTCCCTACTGTCGGTAGTTGCAGTTCTGTTGGCTCTTGGTGTCAAACCTATAGAGCAGATACCGATTTTTTTCAAATCGTGAGCACATTATTCGTCGGATTTTCGTTACTTAAATTTTCTGTAATCACTGGGATCAAAAGCTTCTTAATAATAGAACGTGTTTCACTGATTTCAACCCCCCCCTTTTTAAGCAGTACAATTGTCAATGATTAGGAACCTCTGATACGTCAAAAATGGAGTTTCAGCAATTGTTATTTTTTCTTTTTTGTCTATAGCACCGTTGCCAGTGGAGTAGAACTAGAAAGCTTTGGCAGTATGGAAATTTCATAAAAATCCGAGCGGTAATTTCCAAGTTGATGATGAGTGATACAGTTTTTCGTGATGTAGATGCCATATGACGTAAAAAAACATAACATCTCATTTTAGAAATTTTCCGCGATTACAATACTTCCTCGCCAATGGCGTGGGAAGTAAAACGGCTTTAAGATCGAGGAGTATCAGAGATCGCGATTGTGAGTACCTATTTGCAGAACGAGTTATCTACGAGATATTGTATGAAATAGGGCCACAAAATTATCTGAATACGTCCTTTCTTAGTCCGTACATTGCGCCGCAACCCTTGTTTTGGCAGCACCAAACAGTAGACAAAATTCGTCCAAAATACGATTTGTAGAGGTTTGCGCGCTTCGGAATTGACGCTTTATTTTTTGACATTTTTGAATGAAATTTTCACAGTGTGCTGAAAACAAAACCCCACAGGGTGCTATAGAGCCACTTTTTCATTTTTTTCACTAGGTTCTTTTTAAAAAAATCGCGAAGTTGAACAGAAAAAGTGCGCACTTCATCCCATCATAAAACTTGTGCAAAAACAAAATTTCAAAAAGTGCTCCTATAGCACCCTGGACAATTATCTTCTCAACATACTGCATAAATTTCATTGAAAAATATTGAAAAATAGAGTGTCAGTTTTGAAGCAGCTGAACCCTTGTAATTGACCTGAAACTTACTGCGTCGGAGCCGCCTTAAGCTAACTCGTTTTGCCACTGAAATACAGGGTGATAACGAAAAAGTTCACTTTTTAGGGCACTGTCAGCCCGTACCCTGTATAAGATAGAAAAAAGGTGAAAACTGCTATAGATAGATACTTCTGCATATTCAGCGGCATGCTCGAAAAGAAATCAGAGGCGTCGTTCAAGAGCTATGACCCTAACTTAGTTTTTTTTTATTAATGGATTATTTGCACTTTGGATATGAACATTAATATGAGTATGGAATAAAATGTGAGCAAGAAAATGGCACAGGTTCCTAAAAACTGTAAAGTTCCATCTTTAAAAATATCCAAGATACCCTGCAATTACAAGCAAACTGGAACACAGTGTACGTATTTGATTTTTTTTTTTAAACAATTTATTTTAAAAAATATTTGATGAGTCAACGTTAACAATAAAAATATGCTAATACCTAATTGAGGCAAAAATTAGTTTGTAATAAAGGCTAAAATCTCTTTTTGGTTTTCAGGCCATCAAATATCAAAATTATGAAAAATATTTTGGTAATTAAGAAAACAGATGACGCAGTTCGGCCATTATCTCCACAACCAGATCCAAGCAAAGCGTCTACTTCAGTTCAAGAAGAATCCGAGGAAACGAGACCGAGTACAACAAGTGAATTAGACTCCACTCCTGATTCTGATAATTCAGTATCCAGTAAGATCCAGAAGACCAACCAGCCTCGAAATAAAAAAATATATTCCCAAAAATACAAGGCTGAGTGGGAGCAGCATGAAAATTTTAAGAACTGGGTGTGGATTAAAACACTGGATTCCACAAAAAGAAATGCATTGATTTATTTAACTTGATAAAAAATTCATACACACGACTATTTATGTCTGACTAATTCTTATGTCACCATTGACTGCACTAGACTTGTCTTCGCTCTGCTACTCCACCGTATTCCGTACTCCGCTTCCCTCTCGCGGCCGTGGGGTATATAGTCCGCATCGTTTGTCGGGAAGAGTCTCAACGTCCAAAGGAACATCACTCAAATTCCAACCATCCGATCAGCGGAGGAACTGGACAACGCAGTAGAGGAGCTGGAGAATGCTGTCCTGCGAGCGCACGAGGACAGCACCCGCTCCGAGACTACGGCAGTTCCTAGACACCTAAATGGTCCAGCACCGCACCATATTAGGCACCTGATCAGGGAGAACAGAAGACTCAAGCGACAACATCTCCAGCTGTTGACAGAGGAGTCGAGAGTTGCGCGAAACAGAGCATCGCTAGCTCTGAAGAACGCACTCGCGGAACTCCAAAACAGCAGATGGAATGCAGCCTGTGCAGAACTAGAGACCCAGGATGGTACGGCCTGGACTATGCAGCGAAAATTTCGTCGTCAGCGCACCACGATCCCCACTCTTCACGGCCAACGCGGCTTGGCCTACTCCAGTGAAGAAAAAGCCGAAGCATTCGCCGATTCGCTAGAATCCGAATGCAGACTCAATTACCATGAAGACGAGGACGAAAACCACGAGGAGGCCGTGGAAGTCGCAGCCGACATCATGAGGAGTCGACCACCTGGCCAGGAGACGGATCACCCCTCCAGTCCAGAGGAAATCCGTCTGATCATCCGCAGGTTGAAGGTCAAAAAGGCGCCGGGAAGGGACGGCATCAACAACAGGATGCTGAAGAACCTTCCCACCAAAGGCATTGCTGCGCTCACCAACATCGCCAATGCCACTCTGAGACTTAACCACTTCCCGCGGCGGTGGCGGGAAGCCCAGGTTATAATGCTCACCAAGCCAGGCAAGGACCGGAAGTTGCCCCAGAACTACCAGCCCATCAGCCTGGTTTCCTCGATGGGCAAAGTAGTCGAAAAGGCTATCGCCGTTCGACTAGAGAAGCAGGCAGAAGAACTGCAACTTCTCCCTCCAGAGCAATCCGGCTTCAGATCCTCCCACAACACGGAGCTCCAAGCGCTACGACTGACAGAAAACATCACCAGCGGCTTCAATCTCCAGGAGGCAACCGGTCTCGTCCTGCTGGCTTGGCACGATGGACTCATCGCCAAAATGGAAGCCGCCGGAATCGATGCGAACATGTGCCAACTGATCCAGAGCTATCTAACACAAAGATGGTTCACGGTGAAGATTGGTACATGCCATTCAACAAGACGACAGCTGGAAGCAGGCGTGCCCCAGGGGTCAGCCTTAGCCCCCTGCTCTACAACATCTATACTCACGATGTGCTGAAGACAGCTGACACAATGCTGGCCCTATATGCAGACGACACTGCTATAGCCGCCAAGCATAGACGACCCGAGATCATCCGTAGGAGACTACAGGATGAACTGGACCACATCCAGGACTGGTGCGTGAAATGGAAAATCCGCATCAACGTCCAGAAGACGCAGGCACTCCATTCAACGAAGAAGGATTGCAAGACCTCTCGAAGCATCCATCTTCGACGAAGATATCCAGTGGAGCGACAAAGTCAAATATCTGGGGATCGTATTTGACAAGTCCCTCACCTGGAAAGCCCACATAGAAGCTGTCATCGCAAAGACCAGAGCAGCTATGGCTCAACTCTACCCATTACTGGGTAGACACAGCCGGATGCCGCTAGCGACCAAGCTACGGCTGATCAAGGCCATCGCCAGACCTCAGCTCGCTTACGCCTCCGCGGTCTGGGGGTACGCTGCCCCCAGCTACCGCAAGCGACTTGCTGCTCTAGAGATGAAGCTACTCCGGATCGCCACCAGTGCACCATCCTACGAAAGAAACTCAACCTTGCGTAGAGACCTGCATTGGGACACCATCCACGAGTACATGAGGAAAAAAGCGGAGAAGACCTTTGAGAAAGCTCAGGACCACCCGAACGAGCAGCTACGATTCCTCATGGACTACGATCCGGACGAGAGGCCTCGCAACCGCAGAACCAGGTACCCTAGACCAAGGTCCCAGTTGGCACCCGCTAACTGGAACCTTGACTAGGAGAACCCGCGGTTGCTCCCCCCCCCCACGGCGTGGATGCAGAGGACCAGGAACCACCGGGACCAGGACCAACCAGGACCAGGACCCGCCACGACCAGGACCCACCAGGACCAGGACCCTCAGGACCAGGACCAGGAACAATATATAGGTAAGAGGACTTGAAACTCTTGATTTTTCGAAAACAAGAGTTTCAAGAAAACCTAGCAGACCCTCTATCAATGATCGCTTAACGGCATCGATATAATGTGCGAGGTAAAGGGAACCAACCCGGCGTTCCCAGAGACTGAAACACATGAGGAGACGTTGTAGCAGACCGCAGGTCACGCACAACACATGGCCTACCGAGACGCTGACAAGTCGGGCCACGCGGAGGTTTAGGGTTTAGTGGGTATTAGGTGGTCTCCTCAAGACAACCTGGAGTCCCACACTCGCCGTAGCTCGGGCTATGGTATGGTGCGTAAACGCATTCCCCCCTTACCAAAAAAAAAAAAAAGGAAGAGTGTGGCGGGCCCCAAAGCGCAAGTCTAGACTCTTCGAGATCACTTCGCGTCGATCTAGAAGGCGATCCACTGTCACGGTCCTCACAGACGCCGCCAGGCGGCTTGTGCGCCGTGGTTCGCGTGAAAGCAGAGATCGGCATTTAGGCTCTGGCAAGTAGAAGACTCGCTCAACAGATGGCGCTATTCGTCACAATATAAAAAATTTTACTATTATGGTTAAGCAGCCAACCTTGTCAAAAAAGTATATCAAATCTCTTCTGATAATATAGTAAAACAAATGAAATTAAAATTACAGCTTTTATTGCCGAGCATAATATCGCAATAAATGTGCCAGATCATCTTAGCGAACCTATAAATCTATTTGTATGTCTGGAATGGAAGGTAACCAAGCAAAAAAATGTCTGTAGGCCGAACTAAATGTATGGCAATCATAAACAATGTATTAGGGAAAATAAGTTTTGAAAATCTTATTAGTGACTTAAGTTGCCATACATTTTCATTATTAGTTGACGAATCGACAGATTTGTCATCCGGAAAACATTTTGCAATTGTTGTCCGGTACAATAAAAATTTTAACACAAAGGATCATTTTATCGGCCTTATTTTAGTTAAAGACACTTCCTCGGCCCAAAATTTATACAATGTCATTATATGTTTTTTTTCGAAAATAAAATACGCGAAGTGGCCTCCAATATTCTAGATTCTTTGTGGTACACCCGGCCTTTCTCGAAGCGGCAATTGGGACTATATATAACTCGGCGGCCGGGAGATGGAGGCAGAGAGTACAGATTACACCAGTGCAGAGCGGAGTGGAGTATAGTGCAGTCAATGGCGACATAAGAATTAGTCAGACATACATAGTGGTATATAAATGTTTTATCAAGTTAAATAAATTAGGGCATTTCTTTTTGTGGAATCCAGTGTTTCAATCCACACCCAAAAGAACCCAGAAAAACGCTACAATACTTATTTAAATGCTTGCGTCTTCGGTTAATGATTAGCACAAAATATTAAGTAATTTATGGTAGGAATTCAAACAGCACAAAGTAATTCAAAAAGTAATTGTACGCCACAGACTCTACCACAGCTAATCCACGAAGTTCGAGTTACTTGGAATGAAGTGCCACAACCAGACATCGATCATCTCATTTTGTCGATGCCTAGACGTATGCAGGAGTGCATTCAGCTGCGGAGTCGCCCAACACATTATTTTTTTTCTTATTACTAGTCTACCTCATTGCCAAAAATCAAGATGAAGACATTATTTTCCTGGGTGTAACACTTCTAATATCACTGAGTATATCTCCAACAGTCAATAACGTCGTCCAGAGTCATAGCAACGACCATGTGCGCCAGTTAAAATTTCGTGCAGGGGGAGGTGGAAAAGGTCATTTAATTTTTGTCATATACATGTATGTTCGTAGCTAACTTTTTTCCAACAAGGGTTGATTTGTGCCGAAAATAGGCCTTTACTAGCTAATGACAGCGTTGCTGCGAAGTACAGATTCAGCTTGGTTGATGCCATTTTCTTCAAAAAAATGTCGATAAGATGTCGAGATGAAAGTTTTTTTCGTAAAGGCCGACATGTTGAGGGTATTTGACTTGTTTTAGATTGCAGTATTCTTTCAAATATTTTGCTGGAAACCCTTTATTTGAAGCTTATTCCGTATGGCCAGCTTTACGTAGCCGGCAAGGTGGTGCACAATTATTGGGGTTGAAACTTTCTCCGATCTGATAATCCGGTATTACCGTCTGTAATACAGATCTGTAGGTATACCGTTTCGCTAGAGATTCTCTCTGAAAAACAGTGGCGTAGTATCGAATCTAGGGACACCATGGGATTCCATAGGTAATTTCATCAGCGCCGATTAGACATCTCCAGGAGGCAACCTTTGGCATAATAGTAAAGCCCATATAGGGCCGTATCGAACGTATAGATTTATGCCGAATGAATGTATTGTGATAGTTACCTTGGCTAGTGATCTTTTGGTGGGTCTCCCCATTTATCGCATAAAAACGTAATCGTATATTTAGCAACACTGTGTCAAACGTGTTAGGATGGGATGTCGTAGATATGCTCGGAACACGACACCTGACACGGCATTTGACCATGAACGCCATCGTGCTTAGAGCACACAACTTCCGCTCGTCCTCGTTTCATGTTTCATTAATACATACACGTATCACCAAGAATTGATTACTGTGCGTCAAACTATCCATTTTAGTAGCCATTTGAAGCCGTCAAAACTTTGACGAAAATTCGGCACGCTTGGCAACCCTGCACATTATCTTGGGAGGGGATTCGGACCCGCGCAGCTCACGGCGACTAGGTTAGCAGACACATAGCGTTAACCACATCGCCATCGGGCTTGATGTCATGTTTGAGACTGTTTTTTGGACGGCATCGTGAAAAACCATGTCTCCGTTGGCCTGCCTGCCCTCTCTATACCTTGGAAAGTAATGGTCGAATTTTGCTGTAAGCTTGAGACAGGTAACGACTATGCCAAGGACGAAGAAGCCTGAAAAGCATTTGACATTTCCTAAAAACTGATCATAATCAAAAACAAATTTTGTAGGGGTTAAAAATGGGGCGTGTGGGAAAGGTATATCTCAATTTTGTTGGCGTTAGTATATTTATACCCTGTGTAATTCTGTATACGTGTTGTTAATCCGATTTTTGAACTGCCTAAGGTTAGTAGAACTGGGAAAAGCTTCCTTTTGTAGATTGTTCCACAATCTCGACACCCTCGGGATCGGCCAGTTATGGATGTAAGAAGTTCGTGAGCATCAAGCATAAATAATGTAGTCGGGGCCGCAGCACCCCAAACGTGTTAGCATTACTCGAGGCTGGCCCTTATCTGGGCCTTATATAGAGGGAGAAGGACCAGCGGAAAAAAGTACTTATTAACCCTAAACAAATAGCCTAGCTTTTTCCCAGCAGCTGCCGCTATTGACGAGATGTGTTCGTGCCCGATCAGGTCCTCTGTGATCTGGACTCTGAGCAGCCAAAATGAATGGCCGTTTGGCAGAACTCGGCCATCCATCGAACCGAATGAGCGCTAGGATGCTTTTTGTTCGTTATGGTACAGTACTGTGTTTTGGAAGCATTGAACTGAGATTGTTGCGTCCTCAATCAGGTCAGAGAGGAATTCGTCCCTAGTCTTCTTTTTTCCAGCTCAGCGGCAGAGATCGGCTCTGTCACTCTGAATTCCTGCATGTAGAGTGCTGTCAACAGCGAAGCTGTGTATTGGGTTGATCCTGCAGGAAATGAGGTCGTTGATATGTAAGAGAAACAGTGTCGGAGCCAAGACCGATCCCCTGGGAACACCCGTGTTGACTTTGTGGGATGAAGAGGAGAACCCGTCAATTACGACGGATATCTTGCGGCCAGAGATAAAGTCAGCCACCCATGTGAAAAGCTTTTCTCATAGGCCATAGGATGGAAGTTCGCTTAAGACGGCAGCGTGCCACAGCAGATCGAACGCTTTTGTGATGTCAAGAGCAGTTGAGTTTTGTTGCCCATGTCCATCAATGCATTTATCCAGGACGTCGAGACACATAACATATGAAAAACACAGAGAAATTAACCGAAACCGCTATTTCACTTAAGGCATACATTCGAAGTATAACCAATATATTATATTGACTTGGACCTGTTGAGTTTTGGGGGCTCTGTCCATTAAGGCATTTGTTCAGGATTCCGCATAACATATAAAAAATTCATCGGAATGAACCCGAACCACTATTTCATTTAAAGCATACATTCCCATTATTCCTACCCAATAGATTATACCGACCGACCTATATCATGGAATTCGGTGAGTTTTGGGGACTGTGTCCATTAAGGCATTTATTTAGGATGCCGAGGCACATAACATATAAAAAACTTAGCGACATTAACCGAACCATTCTTTCATTGAGGCAGATATTCGAGAAGGACTGATTACTCCATTATACTGGACTCAGACGGGCCTATATCCTTGGGACCCGTTGGGTCTTGGACATGTGCTCATTAAGGCATTTATTCAGGACGCCAAGACACCTACCATATGAGTAATTAAGAGATAATTGACCGAAACCACTCTTCTATTTAAAGCAAATACTGAGTAGAACCCCATTATACCAACTTGGACGCCCATAAACGTAGCGAGTGATAAGTTCCAAGAACTCTATCCTTTCCTGATCCATTCATCATTCAACTGATCGAGCTTCAAAGTTTAAAATGCTTCTTAAGTTCCGCAAATCGCACTCAGCCTCATTAGCGAAATCGCCCGCTTCCCTTAGAACCTGGAACACTGCACGTCTTATCTTTTAAAGGATACCGCCGACCAAGCATCCGACACTACGTTGTCAGGCCCGTTGCAGTATCGTAATCTCGAAATCAAATTCTTGGATAAATGTTATCCAACGCGACAACCTTGCCGAAAGTAATTTCACATACATGATATCAAAAAGCTAAGTGCTTTTATGATCTGTAATGACCAGCAAGTCTCGTCCCAGAACACACGTGCGCGACAAACGAAAAACAAGAGACAACCCCCCAAGCTTCCTCTTTCCGTTACAGTATAGTTTAATTGACTGCCCTTCAAAACGGAGCTCATGAAGCAAACATATCGTTTCACTCCCGTATCGTTAATCTGATAAAGACTACCCCCCCACGGCATATGCGGTAGCATCGCATTGAATATAAAAGTGCGCTTGAAATCAGGATGAACAAGCATCATGGACTTTAGGAAGGCCGACTTAATAACCCTAAAACTCTCCATTTCATCGCTTCCGCAGCGCCATTTTTCTCCTTTCTTCAGCAACTTCAACAGAGGCACGGTCAATTCGGCATACCCGGCGCAGAATCGGTGTTCATAATTGACCAGACCCAAGAACCCAGGCAGCTCTCTTAAGTTTCGTGGAACAGGAAAATCGGAAATATTTTTGAAACGCCCCTCGTCGTTTTCAATTCCCCTTGAGGTGATCACATGACCTAGAAAATGTACATTTTCCCTGATAAACTGACATTGCCTTAGTTTTATTGTAATTCCGGTATCACTAAATCTCTGAAAAATCGTCTTCAAATGCCTTAAATGATCCGCTATGTTCTCCGGGTAAATTAGTAAATCATCAACATACGCCTGCGCGAAATCATTACAGCCCTCCAGTATCTTATTTAAGCATCGAATAAGACTTGCCGTGGAAGTAGATAACCCAAATGGAAACCGACAAAAACTATATGTTTCACCCTCGAACACCAACCCAGATATTTGGTATGATCCGGCAACACTGGAATTTGCCAATATGCTTGCGTCAAGTTTATTGTGCTCATAATTTGCCCTGTTTGAAATTGGCCATTAATT